TGTGGGACTGTCTCCTCCAGGGCGTCCCTTAGTTTCTCCAGAGTGTGCCTGAGGTGTGGGCGTCAGCAGAACCTGCCAGCGTGTCCCGTCCCCAGTTCACACTCCATCCTTCCCCAGCTTAGGACGTGGTGGGGGTGAGGGCTGAGGTTCTGGAGGGAGGCCCAGGGTGCCCCTGCCCCTTCAGACACACTGCCCCCAGCAAGGCCAGCTTCCCGTCTCTGCTGCCAACAGGAGATCCTCGAGGAGGTGGTCCGAGAGCTCCACAAAGTCAAGGAGGAGATCATCGACGGTGAGTGGAGGGCCCACCCAGGGGTCCTTGAGATCGCGCAGAGCTGCTGTTGTCCGGGGCTGCCAAGCGCTGGAGCCAGGATGGCCTGCGGCTCTGTCCTTGGGTGGCATCCTTCTCCCTCTGGACAGCCCACATCACCCTCTTCGTTGTCTAGCTGAGCAGCTGGGGCTCAGACAAGCTAAGTGACTTGCCTGAGTATACGCACGTCCCTGGTGGCACGACACCTAAATCTTCCCCCCAGGGGGGGCTTCCCGGGGAGGACCCTTGGGGAGCGCACAGAAGGGAGAACAGCCCCGTGCGCTCCAGAGCCAAGAGCAGTCGCCACAGCTTGAGTGACCTGTGTTTCCTTCGGTATCTGGACTTAGAGCGCCTCTTTGATTCTGCCACCTCCAGTCACTGGCTTTGGGGTTATGCGGGTGATTGCTGCCTTCCCAGAGGTTTAGGGAGACCAAGAAGCCACAGAACGACCTTTGGGCCTGACCTAGTCCACAGCCTGCTTGGCCCTGGGCTGGGGGAGCAGCCTCTGGCTCCAGCGGGTGGGGCCTCGTCACAGTGAATCACATCCGTCCTTCCCGTTCCCACCAGAGCCTTTGATGCACCGGCTCAGATCTGGAGCCAGAGGAAAAGGAAAGGTTTGGCCAGGTCTGTGCACTGAGGCACAGCCTGGGCCACCCATCTCCTCCCCAAGCAGAGGCAAGGGATGAGGTCACACCTGTGGCAGGCCTGGCCCCCGGGGCATCAGAGGGGACCTGGGCAGGAGAGGTTTCCATGAACTCACAGGGGTGGGCGCTGGTAGCAGAGGGCTGCCAGGACTCTGGAGAGGGGATGCCAGGGTGGGAGCCTGCCTGAGGGCCCCACAGACCTGGATCCCCCTGCCCAGAGGTGGCTGACCAGGCCACACCCTCTCCTTGTCCCAGCAGAGAGCACTCAGTTCCTGTTTGTCCAGTCTCCCTGCAGGTCTGGGCTGGGCAGATAAGGAGTTAATGAATGAAGAGGGTGAGATAGAGCTGGAGCCAAAAGGGAGTCCCAGAGGCCAACTGTGAACTCTGCTTTAGTGCTGGTGCCCCCATTTGGGGGGCTGCCTACGCCCCCAGGGCTAGACTGGTGTGGGGCCAGCGGCAAGGCTGCCTAGCCAGCCTGTCTGCAGAGGGAACAGGGGGATGGAGGCAGTGGGGGTGATGGGACACCCTTCTCTGGGCTTCAACGTCCCCATCTGCCGAAGGTGCAGCCACAGGTGGAAGCTGCCTAGCGGGTGGGCAGCAGAGTAGGCTGGGGCGGAGGAGGGCGAGCAGGGGCCCAAGAAACTTCCCCTTGTTACTTGAGCCCTCAGCTCTTTCTCCTGGGTTTTGGCTCCAGGCCCAGTGGGGTTTATCTGGGGAAAAGACCAAATCTGGGGGAGAACCCTAAGGGGTGGGGCAGGAAGAAGCTGGAGAGAAGAGCAAGAGAAGCCCCTGCCCCTCCCTGGAGGGGAAAGAGCTCAGGCCAGGGGAGTGGGGGGCAGGAGCCGTCCAGCCTGCTCAAAGCCAGGGGCCTCCTGCTGCTGCCGGCAGGGGAGCGGCTCCCAGGTCCTCCAGGCAGAACCAGGATGCCCCTGTCCAGACCTTTCCAGGGCTCCTGATGCCCGCCAGCCCCTCACCACCTCTGAGGCTGTGGGCAGGTCACACTCCCCTAACCTCAGCTCATTCTCTAAGGGTGGGGGCGGGGGGGGGGGAGGCAGGACCACCCTCAAGGGACTCTGCTGGCTCAAGAAATGGTAGATTAGAGACCCACAGGGGCTTTGCTGTCACCCCAAAGACTGGGGTGGGAGCCTGGGCAGGGCTCTCAGGAGATGGAGCAGAGCAGACACCAGAAAGGACCTCACCAGAAGTGTGGGGGCAGGGCCCTGCGGAGGAGCATGTGGGCTTGTCCCTGCTGCGCCTGAGCCTCCCTCTCCTGTCCTGTCCCTCAGCCATCAGGCAGGAGCTGAGTGGGATCAGCACCTCGTAGTGCGCCCGGCCCCTGCCGCCACCGCCCGAGACGCCAGTCTACCCCGCGGCGGGGGACAGTGAGGAGCCCAGCCGGCCCAGGCCTCCAGCACACATGAGCACGCACTGAAGCTAGGATGTGCTTCATTTAAAAGTCTTAACCTGTGATAAAATATTAAAATGAGGAAAAAAGTTCAGTTCCTGGATTTTTTTAAATTCTACCTGACACAGAACACCAGGTCTACTTTTTTTGTATTTTATATTTGCCTATTTAAGTGTACATTTCTTTTGTTTTATAGAGAAGACACCCCCAAATCACACTTCATTAGATGGCTTCCCAGTTTCCTCCTAGGTGACGCTGTTAGCACCTTGGCTGGCAGTGGCGAGCTGTCCACACGCAGCTCCTCCCCAGCATCCTGGTGGTGAGGGTCTGTCCACGCCCCGCGGTGTCTGTGTCCACATCGTAATAAACGCTTACTGTCCACACCCCCGGCTCCAGCTCTCACTCTCTCACACCGGCTCCTGGTCGACCCTGAGGAAGGGCCCACGACAGTGGTGGCTGAGAATAGTAGGAGCAAGATGGGGCCTTGGACAGGTGGCTGGGCGGAATTCAGACACAGGGAGGGGCGGGGAGGGTGAGCAGGGCATCTCAGGCACTTCCGGCCGGGGCTCCTGGGGAAGGCCTCAGGTCCTACCTCAGGGAGCCACCCCCACAGACTCCCCCAGGGAGAGAGGCCCTGAGTGGTGCCCATGCCTGGAACATCTAAGGGACGCCTTGTGCGTTCTGACTGGCAGGGAGGATGTGCCTGTTCACCCACCACTGCACAGATGGGCTGCATCTCGGGCTCCGCAAGTGGGGTGGGAATGAAGGCAGGCTTTGCCTTCCGCTCTGCCCCACAAAGTCTCCTCCTGCATCCTCCAGGGAGGACACGGTCCCCGTCTCCAGGGCAGCAGGGGCGCCTGAATGCCCACCCGAGTCATTTCTCAGAGCGTGCAAGTTCCCCATCACAGCCAGAGAGGGTCTGACTCAGCCTCAGCCACTGCTACCCCTGGGCCAGGAGCCAGGCCCCAGCCAGTGGGTGGGCCTTGAAATGCTGGGACCATCCCACAGCCACAGCAGACACAACAGTGTGCCCAACCATCCTCTGGAAGCCATAGGAGGGAGGGAGGAAGCATGGGCCCCATCTGGCTAATGACAGGGGCACTACTGTTTTCTGACCCAGCTGTGGACATACTTCATCTCATTGAGTGCTCCCAACCAACCCAAGAAGACGGGAAAAGGACTGGTCTGCCGCTAGGAAGTGAGCAGCCCGAGGCTCAGATCTCACTGGTTTCCCCAGGTCCCGTGGCGGTGTTAACCCAGAGCCAGCAGATTCCACAGCTCCAGGAGCTGCTCTCCTGCTGCCTTCCACCTCCCAGGGTCCAGGAATCCTGTAGTCTCAGAGCCTGGGGGTGGGGGAGCTGGCAGGTGGTGACAAGGCACTCCCCCTACCCAGGCAGCCTCCTCCTCAGGAGAACTCTGCCGGGCCCCTGCCCCGGGCCGGCCTCCGGCTTGTGGTGAGGCTGGGATGTGCCCCTCTGCCCTGTCTGCAGATAAGCGCCCTGGCGGACACAGAAGAGCCCGGGGGCTCAGCTGCGGTAGGAGCGGGTTCTCGGGGGGGCTCCCCAAGGCCTGGGTTAGCTTGTGTGCACAAGGAGGGTCTGCCTGCCGAGGCTCAAGTACTCCCAGGCTGAACTTCACTTCCCTGCACGGCAAGCCCAGGGTCCAGGGACCTCTTCCCCAGGCCATCTCAGTGGTCAGACAGTTCGGAGACAGGGGCGCCAGGCACTACATGAGGCCACTCCCAGCCCAGGGCAGGAAGTCCTTGCTCAGCGCCTGCCGGGTGTCAGGCACTGGGCAGACAGAGGATGCAACGGGCCTTCCTGCCAGCCCTCCCTTTCCTGGGTCAGCTAAGACAGCCCCCACCCCTGGGGGGATGGTCCTCGGCCTCCCAGCCTCACACCCACGGGCTCCCTTTCCCTGGGGCTGCTGCAGGGGCTGCCGTGGGAGCTGCAGGGCCTCGCCCCCACACTTCTGGGGCAGGGCCCCACCCACGCACCCTTCCTGCTGCCTGCCTGCCTGCTTCTGGGAGACCAGGACCCCACCCCACCCTAGTGCAGCCCCCTAGGGCCAGGGAGCTGACGAGAAGGATGCCTCCCTAGGCCGCAGCTGTGCCATCGGCCTCCTGCCCTCCAGCTGTAGTTCACTTGGGCAGCCACTTGTGCGTCCAACCACCTGTCCACCCACCGTCTGTCTGGCCTGTGGCGCCTGTTCGGTGAGAATCTCCTCAAGTCGCACGTCTAGGGCGGTGGAGGAGGCAGACCCTGTGGTGTCCAGCTTGAACTCTCGGGGCTCGGGGAAGGCTTCTCGCAGGGGTGAGGGCTCAAGGTGAGGCAGCAGCCGGCGACATGGGCCGAGGGGAGGCGGTGGAGGGGGGGGGCTGGTACTGAGGGGCTTCAGGGCCACGTGAGCCTCCAGGGCCTTCTGCTGTCTGCACCCCCAGAGGCTGGCCGCCCACAACGACAAGGCCCCCAGGGAATGCTGCCTAAGCACCAAAGTGTGTGAGCAAAGCAGTGCCCAAGCAGTGGGCAGCAGAGGTACGACCAGGGGCTGCCAGAGGGGGAGGCTGGTGAGGCCTCCAGGGCCGCCCGGGGGCCATTCTCTGAGGCCCAGGTGGAGCCGAGACCAGCCACGGAAACACACTCCGTGCGTGTGGAAACACACCAATGCTGATTTATTCGAGGGCATGGGAAGCCCCGCTCCACGGATGCCCCTGGGGCAGGGCCCCGCCTCGCCCCGGGAGGCCCGGAAACAGAGGGCGCAACCCCAGGTCGGCAGCGCAGTGCAGCGTCCAGTGCAGACCCAGCTCCTCCAGGCATGGCCCCGAGCAGCAGCCCAGGGTGCGGGAACCAAAGGCAGCCAAACCAGTTCTGGGCACTAGCCAAGGAAGGGACAGTGACAGCCAGCTCTGCAGCAGGTGGGCAGGGTGGGGCGAGCCGCAGGCCCGGCTCCCACCTCAGCACTGAGGCACCGGCAGGAGGGCCGAGGCGTGGCAGGTCCGTCCAGTCCGGGCGCCAGCAGGCCGGGCTCACAGGCGGTCCTCTGCCAGCTTGCACACCCGCTTCACCCTGGCGTATGGCCCTAGGGAGTCCTCGAACACAAAATCCCAGAGCACCTTCACCCACGAGTGATGCTGCGGCAGGTGGTCGTAGTACTCGGGCGCGATCTTCCGCACCTGCAGAGAGGGCCAGCAGGTCAGGGGCCGTGAGCATGTGTGCACGTCCATGTGCACGCACGAGCACACGTGTGAGCGCACAGGCACACATGAGCATGAGCACACGCCCTGTCCCTGTGTCCGGCTCAGCCAGGCAGGAGGCTGGTGTGCTGCCTGAAGACAGAGGGGCCGTTGGCCCCGGGCACCTGCCCCATGGGGGTGAGGAGCTATGCACCTCCCCGCCCGGAGCCCTCGCTGCCCAGAGTTTCGGATCCAGGAGGCCGAGGGGCCCACGAGGCGACCTGCAGGGAGCCTTGACTGCTTGGGAGAAGTAAAGGCTCACAGCCAAGAGCAGGGGCTTCCGTGACAGCTTGAGGACTCTGGCTTTGCCACTTCCTGAGACAAGTACCTGCCCTCTCTGAGCCTCTGCCTTCCCATCTGTGAAATGGGGACAAGGGTAATGTGGGCACCTGTGCACGGGTTGTGGCAGGGCTCGAGTGAGACGGTGCCCTTAGCAGGGGGGAGGGGAGGGGAAGAGAGGGGGCTGCACAGCCAGGGCTGGACACACGGGCTGTGGGACCCCAGAGTCACAAACACCTGCAACCCCAGGCAAGTGCTCACATATAACCATGTGCACCAACACGTGTACACACGGGAGCACACTCGGGCACCCGTGCAAACACCTGCACACACAGGCATGCACACGCCCATGCACATGGGCCACTGACCATGCATGCACACACACGTGCACTCACACCTCAGGGACACATGCACACACAGGCAGGCACACACCCAGACTTGCACACTGACACCCCACCCCTGCTCCCTCAGGTCTCCTCAGCTCTCTCTAGCCCCCAGGGCCCGGCTGGAACTCCTCCTCCTCCCCCGCCCCCTTTCTGCAGACGTTCTCCAAGCCCAGGTCTCCCAGACAGAGGCGCCAGTCCTAGAGGCTTCCGCTCTGTGGCAGCTCAGGCCACCCTCTTGGTCACACAGGGCAAGGCCCACCCTGTCCTCTCTGTGCCACAAGGGAGCCCCTGGAAGGTCACAGAGCAGCGACAAGTAGCAGGGAGAGGGAGTCGGGAGCCAGGAAGGAGAAGGGCTTCACGTGCAGTATGGACACTGCTGCCCCATTTTACAGAAGAGGAAGCCAAGGCACAGAGAGGGCAAGGGGCTTGCCCGAGGACACACACCCAGTACATATCATAGCTGTATTCAAACAGGTTTTCATTAAAACAAACGGCCTAAACTAAAATGCTCCTCCAGCCTCTGCCCTCCCTGAATTCACCTCCTTATTCTGCAGCCCAGCACTCACCTGTACCGTGTGACCTTTCCCATTGCCATGAGGACCACAGCTCAGAATGTGGCCATCCCACGATCAGCATGAAAGGAAAAGGAGGCCAGAGCACGGCCCAGCGCCCTCTGCACACCTCCCCACCTCCTAAGGCCCCCGTGCGCCCCTCGCCCACTGCAGCCCTGCCAGCCGTGGCCACATACCAGGGGCAGGTTGCAGCCCGGGATGCTGGGGAAGTCATGATGCTCCATGTGGTAGCCCACGTTGAAGGTGATCCAGTTGAGGGGCCCGTAGTAGGAGTAGGTCTCGTGGCCCTTGAGGAACATGTAGTGCTCAGCCACAAAGTGGCCCGAGATGGGGTGCAGGCCCAGGCCCAGCAGCGAGCTGGCCAGCAGGTAGACCATGGGCTTGACTCCCCCGAGGGCGAAGATGGTGGCATCAGCCGCCAGCTGCACCAGGGCGTTGAGCACCTCCATGCGGGTCACGGCCTTGGGGTTCACGCAGAGCGGCCGCAGCGAGTAGAAGAAGGGCTGCAGCGCCAGCCAGAGCAGCTTGCGGGCCGGCGTGCAGAAGAGCCAGCCCTCGAGGCGCGTGGGCACGTCCACGTCCAGCCCGTCGCCGCCCAGGTAGCGGTGGTGGTCCACGTGGTACTTCTTGAAGGAGGCCGCGTAGGGCACACCCATGGGCAGGTTGGCAAAGATGGCGAACCAGCGGTTGTGGGAGGCGCGCGCCGTGCCAAAGGCGGCGTTGTGCGAGATGTCGTGGATGGCCAGCGTCAGCGAGTGGTTCACACAGCCCCCGAAGGCGTAGGCCCAGAAGAGCAGCCAGCGCCACGCCAGCCCCCGCACCAGCCAGCAGGCCAGCAGCTGCACCAGCACCATCCCCAGCACTGTCCACTTGAGGTGAGGGTCCGGCCGCATCAGGGCCTTGATGGCTGGGTACTTGGCTGCAGGCGGGACCAGGATAGAGAGGTGTGAGGGGGACGCTGGCCGCAGGGGCCGCCCGAGGCCTGCTCCCCTCCCTCCCTCCCTCCCCCCTTCCTTCCTTCCTCTTTCCTTCCTGCCATCTTCCCTCCCTCCCTCCTTCTACCACCCATTAAGCCCCCAGGCAGTGACACGGAGATAAACTTGCTCCTCGAGGATCCCTAAGACCTCTGGGGCCTAGGAACAGGCAGACCTGCCTCCCCGCCATGGCGGGGCACACCTCTGGGGAGGCCTCCCAGAGGGGGGATGTTTGCCACCAGCCGAAATAAAGAGCAGGTGGCGGGCCGGCCCCGTGGCCGAGTGGTTAAGTTCACACACTCGGCTTCGGCGGCCCAGGGTCTCGCCGGTTCGGATCCTGGGCGCCGACAGAGCACAGCTCATCAGGCCACGCTGAGGTGGCATCCCACATAGCACAACCCAGAGGACCTACGACTAAAATACACAACCATGTACCAGGGGCCTTTCAGAAGGAGAAGAGGGGGAAAAAAGAAAGAAGGTTGGCAACAGATGATAGCTCAGAGCCGATCTTAAAAACATTAAAAATAAATAAATGAAGAGCAGGTGTCACCCCCGGGTCACAGAAACATAATGCTGGAGATCCAAGCAGCTCCACGAGCAGCAGGTTAGATGCACGCATCGAGGCGGGTGCGCATTCCGTGCAGCCCGAGACTGATCGGGGGGCGATTGGACGCCCCACACTCGTCAGACTTGGGGGGCAAGGGAGGCCGGCGGGGAGAACACGCAGGGCTCCGCTCTGAGTGCACCGGTTCAGAAAACAAACCAGATCCGAAGGAAACAGGATACAATGTTGGACACGTTTATTTCGGGTGGTGGGTGCTTCTTACACTCTCTCTACTTTCCTGTATTTTGTTTTATTACAGGAAAGGGAAAAACAATGAGAGTGGAAGTTGGCCAAGCAGGGGAGGGCCAGGGAGCAGCCAGACCCCGCAAACCTCAACAAGAGCGGGTGGGGTGGGCGCCCTCAGCGCAGAACAGCTGTGCCCCCTCAGGGCAGGAGAGTGGTGCCTTCCAGAAACCTCTGTGGTTGGCTGGGCCAGGCAGAAGGTGGGTGAGGAGGCTGGCGCTGCGTCCAGGAGCAAGGAGGGACAAGGCCAGGGATCATCACATGCTCAGGGTGACAGACACCCCCAGGTCTGCTCTATCCCCTGGTTTCCCAGTCAGGACAGACAGCCCTCAGGGAGGGAGCCAGCACTGTGATGCACAGATGGGGAAACTGATGCCGGCAAGGGCAGGGGCTTGTCCCAGGGCACCCTCCGTCATCTGTGTCCATCTGCAGTGCCTTCAGTGTCCACCCTTCCTGCCCAGTGAGCCGCCGCCCAGCCTCGTGCTCGCCCTCCTCAGACTGGCCCATGAAGGGTCCCCAGGGCTGCGGCAGAGGCTGGGTCCCGACTGGAGTTGGCCAGGCCAAGGTCAGATCCTGCCTGGCTCTTTCCTCCACGTGACCCAGGAAGTCGCTGCCCCTTTGTGCTCAGAATGAGAAGATGTGACAGCTCAGTTCAGCCACCCAAGGCCCCCTCGGCTAGGCCCCACCCCCTTCCTCCCAGCCCCAAGAACTTTGTGTCAGAGACACCCAGCAGTGGAACAGGCTGCTTCAGAGGTGGTGAGCTACCTGTCCCTAGGGGTATGCAAAGAGAATCACAACATGGGGAAAGGGATTCTGCCCCAGTTGGAGGGGAGACTCAGGCTCAAAATCCTGCTGCCCAAGCTGCCACGCCACAAGCCTGTCTCGGAGTCAGTCTCAATCTCACTGTGTGGCCATGGTGCATTCCCACCCTCTCTGGGCCTCGGTGTCCAAGAGTAAGATAGCAAGGGTGTGATGTGCTTCACAGGGTGTTTGTCCCCACTGAATCGTCCTGCTGGAGATGCTGTGGGAGAGTTGGGGTTCCCACATCCTTGAACCACGGGCCACGACTACCCAGGAAGAGCCAACAGAATCCCCGGGCAGCTTTTCCACCCCTGCTGTCTACACACCAGCGCTGCCACCAAGCCCTTGCCTCATCTGGCAGCTATGGGTGTCTTGGCTCCAACCAAGTGAGCAGTGGCTCCACACAGTCCCCCGGACAGCCTGTGAGTGGCCGATGTGGGGTCTGAACTCCACACAGCGGCAGGGGCGAGCAGAACCAGAACTCCCCTGACACACACACACACACAAATATACACACACTTTGACCTCAGGAGCTCTCTCCCGGAAGCCGGCCAAGGACACCACCCAACAGATCCACGAGCATGGTGGTCACGGTGTGCGGATGAAAGAAAACCTCAGAAAGCATGAGCAAGCCCAGCAACAGGGTAACAAACCTCAGCCCCATGAACAGGGGCCACAGGGGACCACAGGGGCAACAGCATCCCCGGGGGGCTGGGAGGGAGCAGCGTCAGAGCAAGTTCAAATCCTAGCTCTGGACAAGGGTTTAATGTCCAGAATCTATAAAGATCTCCTACAACTCAACAACAAAAAGACAAACAACCCAATTTAAAAATGGGGAAAGGATTTGAAAAATAGACATTGCTCCAAAGATGTACAACTGGCCAATAAGCACATGAAAAGATGGTCAACACCATCAGTCACTAGGGAAATGTAAATCAAAACCACAGTGAGGGACGGGCTCAGTGGCGTAGTGGTTAAGTTCATGCGCTCCACTTCGACACCCAGGATTTGGTGGTTCGGGTCCTGGGCGTGGACCTACACACCGCTCATCAAGCCATGCTGTGGCAGCATCCCACATACACAAATAAAGGAAGATTGTCACAGATGTTAGCTCAGGGCCAATCTTCCTCAGGAAAAAAAACCCACAGTGAGACACCCCGTCACACCCACTAGGACCGCTAGATTCAAACAACAGCAAATAACAAGTGCTGACAAGGAGGCAGAAAAATTGGAACCCTTGTCTGTCCACTGCTGACAGGGACGCAAAATGGTGCAGCTGCTGTGGAAAGCAATTTGGCAGTTCTTCAAAGAGTTAAACACAGAATTACCAAATGACCCTGCAGTTCCATTCCTACCTAAATATACACCCAAATGAATTCAAATCAGGGACACAGATTCTTGTACACCAGTGTTCCTAGAACTAGTCACAATAGCCCACAGGTGGAAACCACCCACGTGTCCATCAGTTGATGAATGGAAAACAAAATGTGGTCTAGCCACACAAACAATGATTATTCAACCTTAAAAAGGAATGAAACTTGCAGTTATAAGCTAAGTGCTGGGGATGTCATGTACAGCATGGTGACTATAGCTAATAATACTGTATCGTATATTTGAAAGTTGCTAAGAGAGTAGATCTTAAAAGTTCTCATCACAAGAAAAAACTTTGGGCCGCCTCATGGCCGAGTGGGTAAGTTCGCGCGCTCTGATTTGGGGGCCTGGGGTTCGCGGGTTCAGATCCTGGGCACGGACATGGCCCCGCTCATCAGGCCATGCTTGGCAGGTGTCCCACATGCCACAACTAGAGGGACCTACAACTAGAATATAAAACTATGTACTGGGGGGTTTTGGGGAGAAGAAGAAGAAGAAAAAAAAGATTGGTGACAAATGTTAGCTCAGGGACAATCTTAAAAAAAAAAGAAAAAAAATTTTGTAACTGTATGTGGTGACGGATGTTAACCAGACTCACTGTGGTGATCATTTTGCAACATAAACAGATATCGAATCATTATGCTGTACACCTGAAACTCATATAACGTTATATGTTAATTATACCTCAATTACAAAAACACTCTTATTTGGATTTTCCACCTTCTCTGTTTCACGATTCCAACTCCCTTAATTCTACTCCCTGGAATTGATTCCCGAATAATCTACCAGCACCGAAAAAAAAAAGAATGAAGCACTCACACGAGCTACAACACGGATGAACCTCGAAAACGTTAAGCTACATGAAACCAGCCAGTCACAAAAGGCCACGTATTGTCTGATCCCACCCATATGAAATGTCTGGCACAGAGACAGAAAGTAGAGGGCAGCAGGGGCTGGCGAGGGGCCCCCGAAAGGAGTGTGGAGTTTCCGTGTGGCGTGATGAAAGCTTTCGGAAATAGTAGCGATGGCTGCCCCACACTGTGATGTAATTAATGCCGCCAAAGCACACACCAAAACAGGGCTAAATGGCTAATTTTATGTTACATATGTTTTATCACAATAAAAAAATGTTTAAAAAAATCCCAGCTCCAGGCAGGGGACCTCAGCTCCACGGCTCCTTCATCTCTGAACCATAAACCAGGCCAGCGGGAGGATTAACGGCCAAGGCTCGGAGAGCGCGGGCTGCGCGCAGACGGATGCCAGGCCCAGGCTTGACGGATGAGTCCACACAAGCACCGGGGAGGAGGCGAGCTTTAAGAGGCAGCCCCCAGGAGGCCAACTGCAGACTGCAGATGGTTTACTGCTGCGGAAAAGAGCCAGCACGGCTGGAGGGTGGTGGAGACAATGGGGATGGAGCAGCGTGGGCTCATTAACTACTCTCCTCCTGCCTGCCCACGTGGCCTGATGCAGCCGCTGGTGTTGGGCCTGAGCCACGGGAGGCGACCTGAGGGAGGGGCACGAAGGCCCCGTGGCCGTAAACCAGGAGAGCCGATCACGGGGTGGAGGGAGAGACTGGCAGCCGTGGTGGGCAGCTAATGGCCCCTCAAAGATGTCCAGTCCTAATGGCAAGGCCTGTGCGCTCGTGAGAGTCTGGGGCAAGGAGAACCAAGGCTGCACGTGGCATTCAGGCTGCCGTCAGCTGACCTGACAACAGGAGGAGGTCCTGGATTCTCCAGGCAGCCCAGCATCATCCCAGGTCCACCAGTGGAAGAGCAGGCAGGAGAGGAGGCAGGCAGGGTGGCCCGGGGAGGACTCCATCGCCACTCCCGGCTGCAGATGCAGGAGGGGCCTGGAGCCCGGGGCGGAGCAGGCAGCCTCCAGAAACTGGCAGGACCAGGAAACAGATCCTCCCACTGGGGCCTCCAGCTGGAGCTTGGCCCTGCCGACACCTTGACCGTCGCCCAGGGAGGCCGTGTCAGACTTCGGACCTCCACAACTGTAGGATTTGAAGTGTGTTGTTCCAAGCCCCCAAGTTTTCGGTGAATTGTCACCGCAGCCCTAGGAAACTCCCACAGCAACTGGACCCGGGACAAGAAAACAGCCGGGGCTCTAGCAGCCCGGAAAACACACCAGCCTGTTCCTCCTGCCCCATCCCTCCACTGGCCCGTGCCAGGCACTGGGCACGGTGGGGACTCATGCCCAGCCCGGCTCCTCCAGGGCCCCGCTACCTGCCAGCCCTGGCCCAGGTGGATGAGCTGGCATGGTGCTGCTCGGCCAGCATCATCCTGCCAGGTAGGGCAAGAGACACAAAAGGACCCAGGTCTGGGGGTGGGGGCTGACATGTGAGCCCCATTCGAGAGGGGGTGCAGGAGAAGGCCTTAGCCCAGCTTGTCCCTGCCCCAAAAGGGGTCCGAGTGAGCAGCGACACTTCAGAGGGTGGGCCTCAGGGTTGCCTGGGAAGATGGGTGCTTCCAGGGAGTGGCTGGGGGCCTGGGGGTGGGAGCTGCAGTGAGGTGGAGCCAGCAAAGGAAGAGGTGTCTTCCTGTAGCCAGGACGAGAGGATGTGCTGGCACCCAGCCGTCAGGGATGCTCACGACCACAACCCAGTGCCTGGGAAATCGCGTGCAAAGTCCTGAGAACCTTTGCATACCTGGAGGTTGGGCTGGGACCGCAGGCCACAGGGCTCCACCAGCCTCCCTGCTCGGGCAACCGGGGACCAGGCCCTTGCCTGCTGAGGCATATTTGAGAGCTGAGCCAGGTGGCTGGAGGCCACCAGCCCCCATGGGGCAGGCCTCCCCTGCTTCCCCTTGGAAGGAGGCCAAGCCTGGGGAAGGAGGCCAGGGCAGGCCACACCTGCACCAGGTGAGCACAGACTGGCAAGCTCTGGGGCACCGGGTCCAGGACCCCAGCTCCTGGGATCCAGGCCAGCACACAAGCCACTCCCTGCCCTCCAGAGGCAGGAGAATTAACAGAGCCCGGCAGTTGTGACCTTGGACTGTGGGCCCCAGGTGCCCCATACATTGATCAAAGATAATAAGTCCTACCTGTGGGGTAGGATATGGGGGCTCAAAGGAGAACACCCCTGGCAGTCCCTTCCACCCCTGCCCCGCCCACCTTCAGGGAGCCCAGTGCCCCTTCCTCCTTCATGACAGGTTCCCAAGGACTCAGCTGCCCCCAGCTCGGCACAGCCGCAACAGGGCCTGGGGTGCCTGGTCCCCAGCCTGTCACTCAGGCTGACGGAGCAGGCCAGGGCCAGTTGTGGCCGCCCCACCTCCCCAGCCTCGGTCCCTGCATCTGGGAGGTAGGCTGTGGTGAGGCTGCGGTGACAGCTCTGAGCCCTGGGAGCTGTTTTTTATTGTCGCTATTAAATACAGTTTTCTGATTTGAGAGTGAAAACGTCCCATTTCTGACCTCTAGGGCTGTGGGTGCAGGTCTTGGAGGCTGATCTGGCCCCGGGCTTGCTGTGACCTACAAGAACAGGCCCCGTGTTCCCAGGCATGAAGGTCACTGGGCGAGGCCATCCTGCTGGAAGCAACGACAAAGGGAGCTGACATACAAGCTGGACTCCAGGTAGCATGTGGCGAGCCCTCAGAGGGTCCAAGCACGTGAGCCCCGGGTCACCTCCACTCGCAGAGGCCCCTTCTGGACCACAGTGCAGGCAGGCGGGGCCCCAACAAGCAGCGCCGGCCGAGCACGGCCACCAGGGAGGCCTTGGCTGAAGGTGTGTGCGGGCAAGACCCCATAAGGGCTCAGGGACAGTGCCAGGGAGCTGGGAGTCCCGTGGGTTCCAGAGGTGGCATGGGCTGGGAGAGCTCACTGAACACCCCGGGCCTTCAGTGGTGACCCCAGGGACGGACCCCCCTAAGAGCAAGCCGGCCCAGCAGCCCATCGCCCTCCTGCGGAGGACTCAACCCTTGCCCAAGGCAAACAGCCAACATTTAACTTCTCAATTCCCCAGCTCCCGGGTCCCTGGGGAGGTGGGAGGCCTGGGGACCTCCTGGGGGAAGATGCTCAGGGCACCAGTAGCCACACAGACAGGAAGCTGAGGTCACCAGGCACAGTGAGGATCTGGGGTAACTGGAGCCATGGGCTTGGGGGTGTCCACCTGCGGGGGTCAAGGAGGGTCACAGACAGGAAGACGGGACAGGCACCCGCTGGGCTTAGCAAGGTCACAGGGCCTCAGCAGGAGCCGTCTCAGATGGCCAGGGGCAGCGTAGCGGCTAGGTGAGGAGCTGAGGGGTGGATGTGGTGAGTGCAGGCGTGGGGGGAGGGGGGCCGGCTGCGGTGTCAGGAAGAGAGACAGACGCCGGAGGACAGCAGAAGCAGGGGACAGGGATGCCGGGCGGGGGTCATGGAGAAGGCAACGGGTGCTGGCTCAACAGGAGGGGGCCTCTTCCAGGGGCTCAGGGAAGAGAGACAGGGATGAGGAGAGACACTAGGCTCCACGGCCTTGGGCTCCATCTTCTCTGGGCCCCGGGGGGATCCCAGCTGACCTCGGGCGGACCTGCCCGCTCAGACCTCCAGCTCAGAGGACAGGAGTAGCTGGACTAGGACAGGCATGCCTCGAAGGCCCTCTGTCCGTGGGGCAGCCTGGAGCCCAGCCTCCTGGAACCAAAGACAAATAGACCCATGCAAATGCTCTTCCAGCAGCGGCCCCGGGCAGGGTCCACGGCAGCTGGGCCACTGGCCATGAGCAGCAGCCATCATTGCTAGAATTCACACTGTCCAGGCATGACACAGAAAGGAGGGTGTGAGGGCCAGGGAGGCCCAGAAAGGGTCCAGAAAGAAGGCAGGGCAAGGTCAACAGGGCTGAGAATGGACCTCAGACTCAGGGCCTACAGGAAGTGAGCCAGGGCCCAGGCATGGACAGGGACATCAGCAGGTGTCACATGCCCAGCGTCTGACACACACTTACTCATGCAGGCTTCACCACCCTGCCCAGCAGGGGACCATGCCCTCATCTTGGAGATGAGGAAACAGGTTGATTTCCACTGGCCCCTCCAGAGAGAGGGAAGACACTCACTCTTCCCGCAGGCTGCCTCAGCCCCCAGAGGCACTGGCTCCAGAGCTGGGCCACCTAGGGGCAAAGCGCCCAGAGAAAACCCTGGGTCCCAGGTCAGGAGAGCCACACTGCAGCCTGGCTCAGCCAAAGTACTGTGTGCCCTTGGGCAAGCCCCTGTCCCTCTCTGGGCTGGCTTCCTTACTCACCATCTCTAAGGTGCTGGCTCTGACAGCCCTGGGGCTGTGAGCCCACGGAGATGGAGTGTGGGAGGGGGAGGCGGCAGGAGGCGCTGGCGTGTTGGGAAACTTGGCTCCCGCAGAACTGTACATGTACATGCAGTTCATATATTTACATGCATGACACACTTGTTCCTGAGGACGCAGAGAGCAGAGCAGGAGGACACGCCTGCTGGAAGGGAGGGCAGCCTGACCCCAACGCCCCCCCACCAGTCCCACAGAACAGTCTTCCGGTGGATACTTGGTTATTCCCAGAACTTCTCTCAACAAATTCTGCTGAGCCAGCAAGAGGGCAGGAAGACGGGAGAAAGGCAGCTGCGGCGGGAGGCTGCTGGGCGGCGAAGGAGGTCCCCGGGCCGGCGCCCGGCTGGCCATGACGTCACTTCTCTCTGGCCTCCAGCAGGGCTGCCAGGAGCACATGGGCTTCGTCCCTTCCACCCTGGACCCGTCCCTGCACCCGCCCTGGTCCTATCCAGGGCTGGGTCCTCCTACCACCGCCCCAGAGGCCAAATGCCGGCGCACGACAGTCTCGCTGGATATGGGGGATGTCCCTGTCATCGCCTTTCATCACCCAAGTGACCCAAGTCTCAGATCCTCCATCCCACACATCAGCTCCCTGCTGCCCACCTGCTTCCCAGCTCCCACTTGACCCTGGCCCCCCACAGGCTACTGGGGAGCCCAGGAGCCCAGCACTCCACCCCTTGGCTCTCCTGCCCACAGCGGAGTGCCTTCACCCCACAGCCCCTGCCAACAGGGGCACCAGTTCCCTTCACGCCCCCTTTCCTCACAGCCCGGGCCCTAACGCCAAGCCCAGAGCTGAAACGCGAGCCCATCCCTGTCTGGTCAGTGTGGAAGGGACCGTGGGGAGCCGCTTCGCCATCGAAAATGCGGGAAGTGGCCCAAAGTGCCTTCAGGAGTCACTGTGCTCGGCCTCCTCGCTGCCTCTTGCTAAAGCTGCTTTTGGTTCATTGATAAATATTTGCTGAAGGTCTGTGGCCAGCCGGGCCCCGGACCACAGAGAGGGAGGGGCACCCGGCAAGTGCGGGCGGGGGTGTCACCCCTGCTGGCCTGGACCCGGCGCCGCTGGAACGTGCTGCGAGGGACACACACAGAGTCCGTCACAGTCGACCTGCAAGTGGGAGGAGAAGGGCTGCCTGCGAGAATAAGGGCGGGGCTGCAGGGTGACCACAGGGCTCTGAGGAGCTCTCTCGATGATGAAAATACTCTCAAACTGGATTAGGTACCTTTACTAAAAATCAACGGGCTGCACCTTTATACAAGTGAATTTTATGGTACATAAATCCTGCCTCATAAAACCTGGTAGAAATTAAAGAACATGGGGGAAGGAATGCCAGGTGGAAGGCCCAGCACACGCATCCACACAGGGCTGGACTGAAGAAGGCCCCGGGGACACGTGAGCTGGCAGCCGCACAGGAGTCGTGTGGCAGGGACTGAGGACGCCCTGCGGCCATGGTCAGGGCCCCACAGAGAAGAGGAAGCAATGGGGGCGAGGGCCAGAGCAGGCCGGGTGAGTGAGCTCGGCCACCAACCTAACCTCCCAGGGGCCTGCGGTGCACAGAAGCTGTAACCGGCCACAAGTCGAAAAGAAAGAAGTCCTCCTCCAAGAGACAAGGGCCAGACGGGGAAGATACTTGTGGTGAACACAGGGCTCCTAGCTGTAATATGTAAAAATCTCTTAGGAATCAAGAAAAAGGATGGCTCCGATGGACAAAGGAGCCGAGGACATGAGGAGAAAATTCACAAAAGAAGGAGGAGCAAAATCAAAGAAGTACTCAACCTCACCATCCAGCTCAGAAATGCCAATTCAGATGGGATGTGTCCCGACTCCCCCAACCAATGGTGAGAGTTAAGCTGCACAAGCTGCGCGCGCGTGCAGAGCAGCGTGACAGGTCCCTGGCCCCGAGGGAGGCAGGGAGGGAGGGAGGGAGGGAACCCGGCGGCGTTCCTGGTGGGCACTGGACTAGAGACGGCAAAACCCGTGCAGCTGCCCACTACCTCCCGGGCTCCCTCCCCTGGGAGCTGCTGTGGGCCCGCCTGGGGAACGGCCTCGGGGGAGGTGGGTGTGGGCCTGGCCCTGCCCTCAGGAGACTCAAACAACTGAAGCGATCACCCCACACATTAATAGAGTCACAGATGGGACAAAGGCCAGGAGGTCAAAGTGCACGGCACCCCGCAGGAGGACCAGGGAGGGGGTGCCTAGGGGGAAGGTAAGCAGTGGCATGGCAAGCAGCCCCCATCTCCGTGCTCAGCGATGCTTGTTGGTAGCTTGAAATTGGCCACGATGGAAATATTTATAGAAATAGGCAAATGCCAATTTGCAAATCAGGGCTTTCTGTCCAAGTGTTTATGAGTGTCAAACAATAAACAATTGAGAATCAATTATTTATGTTTACCAGGATACTGTGTGTGTGTGTGTGTTCTTACAGAGTGTTTCTGAGAAAAGGACATTTAGGCTGAGACCTGAAGGGTGCATAGGAGTTTGGTAGATGAATAGTAGGGGAAAAGAATTCAAGCAGAGGGAACAGCATTTGCAAAAGCCATGAAGTAAAAAATCGACAGATGGGGGAGCACTCCACAAAATGGCTAGAGGTCAAAAAGGAAAGAGAAAGGGCAAAGGGCAGGGGCCAGAGCATGGGGGTGCCTAACACGCCAGGGCAGAGACGGGATTTTAGGAAGGGAAGCCCTTGGAGGAGTCGAGCGAGGGAGGACACAACAGGTCAAATACAGTCCAGGAGTGACCTCTTAGGGATCACCTGTTGTCTGTGCTGCCGTGCACCTGTGTACCCCAGACGCCTCCATCCTCCCCACCCAGCGCAGGGTCACAGAGTGCCTTCCCTTTCTTGGAGAGCTGTTTGTCTCTGTCCTTACCAGGTGATGCTATGGGGCTCGCCCATCACAGCCCCCTGCCCACTGGCCAATCCCAGGACTCGCAGCACTGGCCGAGGTGGGCTGGCTCCAGGGGAGGGCGTGCTCCTTGGGGCAGGAGGCAAGGAGCGCCTCTTTCCTCGGTGGAGTCTCAGAGCTGGGCGGACACCGGCCTGGTGCTGCCTGAGGCCTGCCTGGTGGAGGAAGACGAGGGCCACATGCTGACTGCAGTGGGGATGAGGAGCACAGGGAGACTGGCCTTGCGGCCCGCCGACATCCCTGCGGCTGGGCGAGGAGCGTCCACAAGCTCCCCTGAGAGCTTCGGACAGTTCTGTTCTGGATTTTACACCGAGAGAGCCCCGGCCAGGGCCTCGCCTAAACAAATGAGCCACCAGCTGCCAAGAGTCTGACTTCCTTGTTTTCCTTTGGTTATTTGAATTTCTTTTTTTACCAGGTGTGTGCCCTGCTTTTATAAGTGAAAAATAAATAAGTAAAACAAAACAGAGACAAAATCACAAAGCTATTTGTTTTTGAAAAGAGAGATCCAAAGCCTGCTTCTTAAGCCGCTGGCCACACCCGGCAGACTCTGATCTCCTATGGGACCAGTCCTGTGGCTCGGTGCCTGCCTCCCAGTACAGGGAGCCGCAGCCCCGGACTCGCGGACTACTGGGGGGCAGTGGGACCCCATGTGCCCTGGGAAGCATGTCCCCATCCAGGCAGGAGCTGAGAGATGGACTTTGGTCCTGCCCAAACAGCACTGCAGCCACCTTCCTGAGTTCTGACTCTGAGATTAGGATCTTTATTGAGCATCCGATGGCCCCCAGGAGGTTGGCATGGGCTGAGAAGCCACCTGGGTGGGGCCGGAGCACATCCTCGAGCAGGTGTCTGCCTGAGCACCAAGCTGGCCTCTGTGGCCTCTGAGCTGTGTGACCCTAGGCCAATCACTTCCCCTCTCTGAGCCCCACTCTGCTGCCTCTTCTGTAAAGACCTACAGGATTTCTCTCGGGCTGGGAATGGCACAGGCATCAGGGAAGCAGAGATGGGAAGGGCCTCCCTGTCTTTGGGGAGAACACAGGCCTGAGTGTGAGAAGGAAGAACATCGCAGCTAACATTGATTGAGTGCTGGGCTTGGCGCATATCACTACCTCATTTAATCCACACAGCAACTCCGTAAGCAAAGCATTGGCATTAACCCCTTTTAACTCAACCAAGCCTCAATTTCCTCATCTCTTTATTGACTTGCCCAGCGTCACGTGACTAATGAGTGAGTGCTGAGATCCTTGCCAGGAGCCAAGTTCCAGCCCTCTGCAGACTGCCCCAGAGAGATAAGAAGGCCGTGGGCTGGCGCCACGGAGGGGAATCCCAGAGGAGCGCCCTCACCCAACCCAGGCCAGGGTCCATGAGGGCGGCTGGGGTCCACAAGGGCAGCCAGGGGGGCTTCCCGCAGGAGGTGGCACTGAGCAAGAGCAAGCCGGGCAGAGCGGGAAGGAAGGACATCCAGGCAGAGGAACAGCTTGTGCAAATGCCTGGGAGCAAGAGGGAACGGCACATTCCACATTCTTGAGCTCAAAACTGGACCCGTGCGGAGGCATCCCTGGCAGCCAGTGGAAGCTGCGACTGAGCAAAGCTCCCTGAAGAGTCAGCCTCGAGAAGCTGTGCTGTCCCCGCCCTGGCCCGTCGCCTCCCTGTGCTCCAAGTCTCCCAGCCTCGCCAGCCACCCCTCCAGGAAGCTGCCTGGGTTGGTTCCAGGGCCTGTGGCTTCTCTCTTTAGAGAGAGAACCTTCTCCCTGTCCTGGAGTGCTGGGTACCACACTGGGCACATCCCTTCCAAGACCACCTTTCATCCTCCTACCTACCCTGCCAGAAAAGACCGCACCCGCTGTGCAGACTGGGAAACTGAGGCTGCTGCCCAGAGTGTGGGGATCCCTCCAGGCCTCTCCGTGGGCCAGGATATGTCTCTAGGCCTTCTCCACCTGGGGCCAGGTGCCCAGGGGGGCTGTGAGGGGACGTGGGGGGACAGCCAGGGGAGGGGAAGGAAATACAGCCCTACCTTGGACCTGCTGGGGGGCAGCAGCCAACACGCCTGCCCTCTGGGGGGAGGGAGGACCAGATGATCGCCAAGACCCCTCTGAGCCACCCCCAGGAAGTTCCCAGCTCTGGGGGAGACGATGCTGCCACTGCTGAGACCTCAGACAGTTACTGCTCACCTCACAGAAGAAAACCTCGGAAGTCACAAACCCACCCGGAGGGGCCTCCAGCCCTTGAACCCCCAGCCACAGCAGGGTATGGTCATGCGCTAACCACTCAGCGCATCTTGTGTCCGAAAGGTTTAAAAGTAATGGGCTGGATCTTTCCATAGTCTTGAGGTGGGGCAGGAAGACACCAAAGGGAAAACTCTAACAAAAAAAAACAATCGATTGGAACGCATTAAAAAAAAAAAAAAAAGCTGCTGCAATAGCAAGACAAATTATAAAGGGGAAAAATATCCGCGACATCTAAGACAAAGGGTTAAAAGAGCTATACAAAGAGCTCTGACACTGGGCAAGCAAAAGACCAACCCAAGAGAAAAAAGAAAAGGTTAAAATGGCCAATGAAACATTGAAACCAATCAGCGAATAAATGCAGATTAAGCCCACAATAAAAGAGTATTGCTTCATTAGTCTGATCGGTAAAGATTAAAAGGTTTAATCTGTAGGTTTAATCGCCAGGTGTAGGCGAGGGTGTGGGGAAACCGGGACCGTTCCTGGGGACGGGGAGCGCGTCCAGCCTGCTGGAAGCAGGCCTGGCGCTGCGGGGACGACCCGGTGGCGTCCGGTAAAGGCTTTTCTGGAGGTGGGCGCCCTTTAACCCGAACTCCGGGTAAGGGACGGTCCTGGGTCAAGACGGAGCCGCTGGCATCAATGACGGTGAATCCGCAGGACGGGCGCCCATGTACAAAAGGCGACCTCGCGGGGCACTAAGCCACACAGAGGAGCGGCCACCGTGTATTCACCATAAAATATAGGACAGGCGGACGGGATGGTCTGGGACAATCTTTGTTTTTAAGAAAAGTTGTCTCTCCTTCGCGTTCGCGTCCTCGGAGGCGCTCATTCCGCCCTGAGCTCGGGCGACCGCGGGACCCAGGAGCTCCGCGCACAGGCGCGGGGGGCGCGCGGGCGGCGCATCCCGGACACACCGTGCCCCGGAGCCGACCCTGCGCCGCCGCGGTCCGCGCCCCGGGAGTGGCTCACGTCCCACAGCCGGGATGGAGCAGCTGAGAGGCGCTCCCCGGCGCGCGGATCCGGGCTCGGATCCTCGGGTCCCGGATCCCAGGACCGAGGCAGAGACGCAGAGGAGTTTCAGACCGGGAGCGAGGGACCCTCGGGGACGCGGACCGGCGACGCTGGGGAGGGGAGTGGCGCTCCCGCCCTCCTTCGAGCAGGGGTAGGGAGAGCCTGCTGGGCATCCGGGCCCCGCAAGAGCCACCGCGTGGCTCGGGCTGGCCCACCACTCCAGACGGCCCCGCGGGGCTGTCCCCTCCCGCCGCGGGGCCCGTGCTCACCGAGCATCTCCTTGCGCCGCTGCGTGTGCGGCTGGTCGGTGTAGACCCACTCGAAGTCGCTGCGGCCCGCGCTGTTGCCCATGGTGGGGCGGGGAGCGCGGCACCGGCGCACGGCGGGCTAGGCTCCACTGCACCTGCCCAGCCGCGCCGCCCGAGCCGAGTTCGGGGCCGGGGCGGGGCCTCCGGGGGCGGGGCCAGGTGCGCGGGGCCTGGGGCCTCGGGGCGTCGCCGGCGCCCTGACCTGGGCGGTCGCGGGGGCTCTCGGAGCCTCCGTCCCCTGGTGGGGAAAAGGGGACGATTCCGCGCGAGTCCCCGGGGCCGGGTTGTGCGCGGACGCCGTGTGCACTCAGCCACCCTCCCCGCCCCGCTCTCCGCGGCCGGTCGTCGGATTCACGGAGGCCCCACCGCGGCTGAGCGCCACTTCTCTCCGCGGCCCAGACTTGCTCGCGCTCCTGCCGCCCCCGCCCCACCGACTAGCC